GTCAAGAGCATTAGTTAAGCAGCCTGATTCATTCTTCTCTTCCCTTGCTTTATTCACAAGTTCAATACTGATGTGTTTTTCGCATGTTTCATGTGTGCATCTAATGTAACTGGATGAGTGTTTCTTAGGTATTAAATATAATATGGGAATAAGAAATCTTACAAATTTTTGCCATTTTATCTAAAATGCTTTCAAGGTAATGTGCTCATGTACCCTAGATGAGGTTATCACTCATGGTATTGGACATTCATGCCAGGACAAGACGAAGCTTGAAAGAATGAGAAGTAGAAAATTGATCAGCAGATTAAAAATTTATTGTGTATCTTTGATAGTTTGTGTAGTTCAACCATCATATTAGAGCCTAAAATTAGGCAAGTTGTCAGTTGTCATAACTGAAGTCAATAGCGTTGAGAATTAGAAACCTTGCACTTGTTTGCGCAAGATTTTTCACCTCCTTTTTAGAAGAAAAATGACCTTTGAAAAGCCTTTTCTCCATTTATTCTGACAATTTTGACTAGACCTGTACTAATTTAAGGCAGTTGAAAATAAATTTTCCACAATTGCCCTTGTGTCTAACCGGTTTCTCTTCCCACAAAAGCACGCCGAACAACAATAGGGTAAAATCAGAAAATTGGCACTAATATTACACACAAATATGACACTTGTCAGAATTAGTGGCCCACTTGATGTGATACCAAACTGCATTTTGGGATGAAAATGCCTCCCAAACACATGCCATAGTTCTATAATGCCAAGAGCAATAAATTGCTATAAGGACACAAAGACACAAAAGAACACATAAGATTTATAGAAATTCATTTTAGTGTGGGACTACGCCCTCGTTCCAATTCACTATGATCAAAAAAAGTTTTCATGTGAAAAATTGCATCCCGTATCTTCTCTAACCTCTCTTTTAATGATGATCACAAAACCCTAATTATGGCTCCCTATTTAAATAAATATTAAGGCAAAATCAAAATTACAAGTGTAAAATTCCTAAACCATTCTTAATGAAATTTTGGCTGATAGCATACGAATTCTGCACACCTACAATAATTAGGCTCTACAACTTAACAAATAGGGTGAATGAGAAAACTAGGCTTTGAATGGGGAGTAAATTGCCAAATATTTACAGGGCACTAGGCATTGAGAGATCGAGGAGTCCACAAGTTAGAATACCATAAACTCATAAGATCTAAATATGTGGAATTCAAGCTCTTTTATGATGCATATGTTGAGATGGATTTGCCACCTAAATAAATGGAAAAACAATAATGAGATTAACTATATTTGGCTATTCTTCTGGTAAAGCAAAGAGATTTCTATTGCTTGCATTTTCTCATACCGTAAAGATAGTGGACAGTTGATGAAATATGGAATGCTAAGTTATGTTTTCCTTATGAGATAATGTAAGAATTTATCTTACTTAGCCCTTGTTTGGGCTCTATTAAACCAAAAATATATTTTTTCAAAACTCATTTTCAACCACACATTCTACAGCAAAATAACATTACATATAAAACCAAAACTTTTCCTTACTTTTTAACTACTCATTTTCCAAAAAATCACTATTCCATAATACATTTTTTCCCCAAAAACTCATTGAGATGGAGCCCAAACAAGATCTTATTGGAAGGTATCTGAATACATATATAGCTACTCTTCGATCTTTTATTGCATTTGTTATTGGTAGCCTCAACAGTATCTTCTCTAATGAGCTCTGTCGATAGGGATGTATATCAGTTGCTTCTTTTATGACTACTGAAATGAAAAAGTTAATGCCCTTACTAATTCTCTAAAGTTATTCAGGGGTTTCCATTATTGAAGATGAAACTGAAGGTATCACCATGGAGTTAGAGATGCAGTGGGATGGAAACCCAAATATTGTACTTGATATTAAGACTTACCTTGGTGTTGCTCTCCCTGTGCAGGTAACTTGTAGTGTCGTATCCTCTTTTTCTTTTTCTTTTCTTGCACTCTTGCTTTGCATCGTAGTGACATATCATTTCCGTGGTTGTTTGATCTTCCTATTGATGAATATATTAATTACACACATACTAATATAGCAATCTATTTACCTTTAACTGTATGCCACTATTAGGCTGAAAATTTGTTTTATTAATGTCAGCAAGGAATAAATAACTTAATCAAGGAGCATTCTTCTGATTTTATTAGTTTCTGTGTGCCTGTACTTTGTGGCAACTTCTGACTTAAGGAACCTTCCAAATCTTGTATATATATGTAAAGGTATGATCTACTAAGCACAGTGCTCATCTTATGCATATCTTGCCCTGAGATTTTGGGTGCCTTGTGTGACATTTTAAAATGGTGTCCCTTAAAAAAAAAAAAATACCAGCAACAATAAAAAAAATTAAAATGGTGTCCCTTTCATGTAACAAAAACTTAACCTTCTAGAATAAAAAAAATCACGAAATAACAATTAACAAGTAGACAATCAACACCAATAAAATGGTGATGTTACGATGTAGATTGTACTATTTTAGAGCAAGCGATAAAAACTGACCGTAGAGTTTCTTCTCTTCTTTGTTTGTGTGTTCTTCGTGGGGTAAAGGATGGGAGTAAGGGAAACGACGAAAAGGGATTTGGAGAACTTTTCATTCTTCTCTTTAATCATTTAGATTTTGGACCATTTATTATCTTGTTTAGTTGGCAATTTGTTAATGATGCTAATTATGTATTTGAGATTGGGCTGATAAAATAGATAGTGTAAAATATTTGTTTTTTCAAAAGCAAATAGTTTAAAATTAGGGAAAAAAATTTCTTTTCAATAATATGTTAAATTTAAAAAATATTAACATAATATAACTTCTTCTTTTTTTTCCTTTTCCTTTTCTTTTTCTTTCTTTCTTTCTTTTTTTTTACAATTTTTCATAAATATTGTATCCTTTAACTTAATATAATAATAAAAATTTAAAATTAATAAACCATTTTAAATATATAATTATACATATATGAACACCTATAACAAACTTTTTTGGTGCCCCTACAAACTAAGGCCCTGCACGGTCGCGCAACTTGTGTACCCTCAAGGCCGCCTTTGATCTTATTTTAAGTGTTGGTGACGTGTCAAATAAATCCATTGATGAATTTTAAACTTAATTCAAATGTTGAAGCCCACCATAAGATTATCTACCAATGAAATTATATGACATGTCATCGATGCTTAACAAAAGATAAGTATCGGCATTCATTGGATTATTCATGTGAGAGAAAGGAAGAGAGATTTTAAATAGTTCATGGGAGTTAAAATCTATAATGTAAAGCTCATGTTCTTGATGTTGAGATATTGTTGGATGATGTATGAAATGCACTGATAATAGTTATCCACCTATTTTTTTTCCATTAAGCCAAGAACCTAGTTCCCCTCTTGTCTTTGGCATACTCTTGACTTATTGGAGTTAAGCCCCTGTTTGTTGGTTATTATTAAGGAAAAAATGATGTTTTGAATAATGATTTTTTTGGAAGATGTGTGGTAAAAAGTAGGAAAAAGTATTAGATTTACGGGCAAAATATTTTATTGTGTGAATGTGTGATAAAAAATGAGTGTGATGTTTGAAGGGAGACAAGTAGGGCTATATAACATTTGTGTAACATTAGCATTTTATCTTATATATAGAGACATTTGTATCCCTGTATAGATTATTATTATTCACTCTCTTTGGACATCTGAGATTTACTTTTTCTCAACAAACACTACTCGTCCTCTCTTTTCTATACTAACTTGGTATTAGAACATCTTGCCTAACTGCCATGGATTCTAAGTATTAAAAGTGTTTATACTTCCAGTGGACCTAATGCTATAGCCAGCTGCATACGACTACAATTTATGTTGCTACAATTGCTCCTCTGACCACTCTTCTTATGCTTTTGCCTATTCCAATGAAACTAGGGCATACAAATTATAGTTTTTGGAGATCGCAATTGCTGCCAACACTTCATGCATATGATTTTGAAGGCTTTGTGGTTGAAAGCCGAATCTATCCTCAGAAGTTCATTGAGTCCAATTATAACGATCCAAGCTTGGTGCCCAACCATTCTCTTACGTACTGTTCATTTTGGGAGAGTCTAGTCCCTCTTACCCCTAATGGATATCTGTCGCGTCCCTAGGATTCAAACACTTAACTTTCCTTTGAGAATAACTTAAATTAAATCCTGGTATCAACTTGCCCTTCGCGGATCTATGTTTGGATATGTTATCGGCTATGCTACTGTCAATCAAGTTTGGCAAAAGTTTGAGTGGTTGTTCATTTCTCAGTTGAAGACTAAATTACTTCATCTTTGTGCTAAGCTTCAATCCACAAAGAAAAAAGGTTCATCAATTGGGATTACTTCCTCATTATTATGCACTGACATGGACACTTGTGTCCGACATGATACGTGTCAAACACGTTGATACGTAATTTTTTTTAAAAGTATTGACACTACATATCGTCGACCCGATTAAATTTTTTAAAATTCTACATTTATATAGTTTAAATTTAGTTTATTATTAAATTTTTTGTTGACATCTTTTAAATATGAGTACCTATTTGTTGTTTAATATTAAATTTGAGTTAAAAATATATAATATTTTTGATGAAGATAGAAAAATGTCCACGGCATAATGTCTGAGGAGTGTTGGTATTCGACACATTCAAAGTCTGTCGATACGGATACTCCACCATAGTTGAAGTATACGTACAACAGAGCTTTCTTATCATGAAGGAGATCAGCAATACTTTATCTCTGTATTGTACGAACACTTCAACTATGATCGCATGTCCATGTTCGACGCTCCTCAAACATTTTAAGCGGTTATTTTTCTTTCTGTATTAGAGATATTATATTTTTTTAACTCAAAATTATTATTAGATCATTGAAGAGGAAAGAGTCATTTTAGAGCACCAGGAAGACGATAACATGAAGGTATAAAGCTATACGCTTCACATGAGCAATGAGTTATAATTAAATTTGAGGAAATGTGTTGTGCATATTTATGCTTCTTTATTTACAAGAGGTGTTTAAGGCAAAAGTCAGTCAACAAAATATGAGATCACCAAGAACCTGATTAGACAAGGAATACAGAGGATCATGACAGAATGATTATGTGATAGAGATGACATTTCTAATTGAGTAATTGGAAGTTTTGGACTTTGGCACGTATACAAGATTGTACCTGTCGTATCCGTCTCCCTAAACGACAGTATTTCGGCGTCTTACATCTGCTATTTTTTTTTTCCTTTTATATTTTGGTTTAACAAAAAAGAAACTGTAACTATCTTGTCATGTGGTTTCAGGAGTTTATTATATAATAAAATGTGTTATAGATTTGATAATTGGGATTATTTCAACCTTGTATGTTTCTCTCTCTGTATAGGTGAAAGATATTGGATTTACCGGGGTTTTCAGGTTGATTTTCAGACCGCTAGTCGACGAATTGCCTTGTTTCGGAGCTGTATGCTTCTCATTGAGACAAAAGGTGCTGTATTTTCTATATTAATTCTGAGATTCTTCAAGCAAAAAGTTAGTTATATATATGCTACAAGGAGGAGAAATCATAGCATAAGATGCAGCTATACAGTAATATCTCTTGCACTATACCCTCGTACTCCTTAATATTTGATAAGAAATGACTTTGTTGGTTGTAAAACAATTTTTTATGACCTCTGATGTCACTGCCTATATAAGTAAACATGTTTGCTTGGCAACACTAATAAATAAAACAAGCTGTAACAATTCCCTTCTTCTGACTTTCAGAAAAAGCTGGATTTTAAGCTTAAAGTTGTTGGTGGTGATATATCAACCATACCTGGCCTTTCTGATGCCATTGAGGTTTGTACAATGTCTTTTCTTGAGTGTGATTTGATTCTTAGAATATATTCAGTATGAATGGATATTATATAAGCCAAAGATGGCTTATACTAGTGGGACCATGTGAACCCTATATGTTATGGGTTTTGTTGTTGCAAGAAACAATGGAAGCAACATATAAGAATCTTACACATATGGGATTTTATGAAAAATGTCATGGTTGTAGTGAGATATGAATCAAGTGTAGAAAATGATCACTTTGTCTATTATAAATACTTTTACTTTTTAAACATGGAGTACACTGTATTAATATATTTTTATAGAACGAAAGTTCATGACGAATTTAAAAAGAGGTGCAACAAGGGGTTATTATGATTAGCATATAAGGTGAGAGAGAATAACAAAGAATGAAGAGGCTTAACAATATGTATAAGTAACGATTTACTTTTTGCTTTAGAAAGTAGTACAATTGCCATATTTTATTGGCTTTGATTTATATTTCAACCATAACTTTAAATCCCTTAATTTTTCCAACATAAAACTCATACATCCTTTCCTTTATAGCACTGGACATAGCAGAAAGGAGCGGAAGGATTCATGTAGAATATTCCAAATTTAGTGGGAACAAGGCTCAGAGCATGTTTGGGTGCTAGCTTATGTTCCTTATAAGGAGAGAGAAAAAGTGCACCCAAACATGCTACCCGTTTAGCTCAGTACAAGAAATTTAATAAACTGTATAATTCATATTTTATTGGAGTTTGGCTTATATCATTGTTTGAAGATTATAAAATACTATCCCATAATGCTTTTTCACAGAGCATGATAAGGGATGCTGTTGAAGATTCTATTACATGGCCAGTTCGAAAAATTATCCCCATTTTGCCTGGAGATTACAGGTAATTCACACTTGTAAAAACCCACTGTTTTGCCCATTTCTTGTTTTATTTATAACAACAAACTGAGCTCGTTCCAACAAATATGGGGTTTATTTCTTGAATCTTTTTCTACCACTATGTTCAATCATCACTACGTCTATAGAAATCCATGTTAATTTTAGTCTACCTCTTCTAACTAAGCCCCTATTTGAGCCACATTATTGTGAAAATGAGAATGAAAAATATAGTCGTTATGGGTCCCACACAAGAGATAAAAAGTTAAATATAGTGGTTTGATGTGATGGATAACGGTCATTTTTTCATTTTAATGAAGAAATAATGGGGCTCAAACAGGGCTTAAATATAATGTCTATTTTCCAAAAAAATAAATATATAATTGTGGCACATACAAGTGTAACATTGTGAAGGTTAAGCTGCTTGAGAGGAGCTGCATGGGTGTTAATTTCTCTTTTTGGGCGAGATCCCCTTTTTAAGCTGATGCTAAGGTTGAAAAAGATAAAATAAAGAATAGGGATTAGTGCCTATTTGTGCCATGTGGATCTTGAACACTTGCTGATGTTTTCTGACTTATCCTCCAGAAGAATTTCTTGACGGTTTAATTCATAAATATATAGAAATAAGTAGATGATAATGGATGATACTTGTAGGTCCATTCGATTGTGTGATTGAAAATGAAGTTTGACTATTTATAAATGATTTATAAATTTCGCCAAACAGCGGCTTAGCACAATTATTAACTTTTGAATACTGGATCAGCAATGACCAGCAACCACTATACACGACTAGTATAAAAATGATATCGATGGTGGTAGTAATTCTTACCCATAAAAAACACTTGCGAAAGTAACCATGAGATCTTGTTATGTCTATATATTTTGGATTTATGGTTATTTACTTGTGGATTTGAACTAAATCCTGAATCTGCTGGGTCATGGTGGTTTTTGTTGACGTTCATTGTTTTTCCAGTGACCTTGAGCTCAAGCCTGTAGGAATTTTGGAGGTGAAACTTGTGCAAGCAAAGGAGTTGACGAACAAAGATATAATCGGGAAATCTGATCCTTATGCTGTGTTATATGTTCGACCCTTGCGTGATAGAATGAAGAAAAGTAGGACTATTGTAAGTTGTTAAATCTGGTTCCTTGAAAGAGTTCACTACCTTCCTTTCTGTCAATTCATGATAGTCACTTTCCCCAGAACAACCAATTGAATCCAATCTGGAATGAACATTTTGAGTTCATAATTGAAGATGCATCGACACAACACTTGGTAATAAAAATATATGACGACGAAGGGGTTCTTCAGTCATCTGAACTAATTGGATGTGCTCAACTTCCGCTAAGTGATCTCGAGCCTGGTAAAGTGAAGGACGTGTGGCTGAAATTGGTGAAGGATTTAGAGATTCAGAGGGACAATAAAAATAGGGGGCAGGTGAAATATCCCTTTCTCAAGATTATTATATTTTGCTAAATATTATTATTGTTTCATAACTTGGGGAAACTCAATCCTACTTTGGAATAGTTACCATATATGTGAGGGTGGTTAAGAATATGGTCAACTAAATTTTTATTTTTGTTCAGTGAATGGTGGACGATCAAAGTTCTCATCTGAAATTGCACTAACTTTCTGCATTGTGATTGATGAATAAAATATCACTACCATAATCAAGAAAAAATACTTCCTTGTTTTTAATGATCTCAAAATTGCTTACCCTTCAAAATTAATAGGTAATTAAATAAAACACATCTAGGGACGCAGTTATCAGGTTTTTTAAATTTGATTCTGTTATGATTGAATTCTCATGATTGGCCTGTAGCATGGAGTGATATCACCATATCTCTATCGAGGTCTCCTGTTGTTGATATCATATGTCCACTTATTCTGCATATCAAACGAAGATAAGTGGTTGTGTTTCTCATTATTTTGCAAGTAATCTTCCAAGCTACTACAAAACTGTCCAAACTGAAAGGCATTTATGTGAATTTTTGCATTTTGCTCATATTCATATCTCCCACCAGTCTTTTTATTGTGTATGGTGATTTTTTTTGTCTACAAGATGGATTATTCCCAGAAAGTAACATCATTTACATAGCATCCTTTTTTTTGCTACTGTTTGGATCAACATGACATGACATGACATGATAAAATTAGCATCCATTTATTTAAACTCCATTAGACATTTACTGATCCAAACTCCCATTGGATTGGGATATTTCTATGAAATTCAACCCTCTAAGAACAAGAATAATCAACCCAAACTTTTAGATGAGGTTGTTCAACACATTCAATGTAGGTAGAGGTACTGAGTTCAAGTCTCGCCACTCCCCATATGTGCAAATTGTGTGTGTGTCCGGCTGCATTGACCAGGTGTGTTAAATACTAAATCCAGTTAAATAAATGTGTCTCTCTCTATCAATGTAAGCTCTTAGATGAGATGGTATATTTCTAGCATCATGATGATTGATGAAAGTGCTACACTTAGTCAATGTGTGAGTGGCAACGCCTCTATCTATTAGAAAGCTACTTGCTTGGCATAATTTCTAGTAAAATGAGAAATAATTGCTTCAATTCTTTTATATTAAATGGAGATATATAGCCCCGTTTGATTCCCATCTTTCTCAAAATGTATTTTTCTCTCTCTTCTTTTCAACCACACATTTTTCATTAAAATAATATTACACGTAAATAAAAAACTTTTCCTTATTTTTCATCCATACATTCTCCATCAATCTACTATTCTAAAATTTATTTTTCCATAAAAATGAGTGTCAAGCACCCTCATAATTAAAAGATATTTTATCAAAAATTATGTATAAAAGAATAATCCAAATTGACGTGAATCTCTGTTTTTTCTTTCTTCATATCATGACTTTTTCAGGTGCATTTGGAGCTTCTTTATATCCCTAATGGCATGGAAAATGGATTTTCCAACCCCTTTGCCCAGAAGTTTTCAATGACTTCACTGGAGAAGGTTCTTAAAAGTGGTAACAAAGGAAAAGAATTAGTTGAAAATGGTGGTGACGTCAAACGAAGGGAGGTAATTGTGAGAGGGGTGCTTTCTGTTACCGTGATATTGGCTGAAGACTTGGCACCTGCAGACTTCATGGGAAAAGCTGACCCCTATGTAGTACTTATTATGAAGAAAACTGAATCAAAAAACAAAACCAGGGTATATTTCTCAATTTTAGTGTTGTTTGGAATGTCACGTATCTACCACTAAAACTTTTGCCCTCTTTTTATCCTATGTGAACCCTCACATTTCATCCATGAGATATTTTACTTTGGTTGCTTGTGTTGTCATTGTATGTCCTCATTTGATAGATAGTAACACTTCTAAATTGACATGTTTTTTACTTGTGTTTTCACTGTTCTTATTTTTTAGGTTGTGAATGACAATTTGAATCCCGTCTGGAATCAGACATTTGACTTTGTTGTTGAGGATGGATTACATGATATGTTAATTATAGAAGTCTGGGACCATGACACATTTGGGAAGGTATTTTGCTTTATCTCCTGTAAATTTGATGTTTCCAACGAATTTATGAGGTGGTGAGATATATGGATAAATATGGATAAGAAGTAAATGGACATATTCGCCAGCACCAGCTCTTTCTGCTTGCAAACCTATAGATCATAACACTCTAATGAATTAGACATTCTATAGTTGAAAAGATCTGAATAATTTTTCTAACAGTAAGAAGAGAAAAGGAAAGGAAAAATATTGCTAAATAAAGAAAATTACACTGATTGACAGTTATGGACTTATGTGAATGCTATGTTTTTCACTTCTATCAGTAATGGGAAATTGTATTTGGGTAGCACCATGAGAGTGCAATTACTGTGCTAAAGGATAAAAGAGTATTTGCATCAATCCATTAATCTAAAAGATCGGCATATCTCAGTATAATTATGGCAGACAGATGTAAACTCATCAATTAGCTATTTAGATGTTTGATACTTCCGAGTTTCAAATAATAGCTACTAGGCTTGATTAATTTTAATTCATCGTCATATAAGTGAGCTGTTCAATGAGTTGCGACATTTGGGTAACTTCTCTAGTTGGTATATTGAATCTTCTTGCACTTTTCCATCTACATTAGTGGACTTGATTTATATTTTTTTTTTCTTTTCTTTTGCAAAAAGTCCTGCTAAAGCTTAATACTAGCAATTAAAACAAGAATAGAATATTATATTGCGTCTCACTACTACTTTAAGGATTTCTTGAAGAGCCAAATTGTAAGATCTTTGGTGCATTACAATTGGTGAGTGCTAAGGATCTGCATCAGCAAGGAAACAGTTTTTTGAACTTAAGGGTCAGGGTACATGGACATGATAACAAGGAAACCGTGTTTTAAGCAATGATCATGCTAATGTAATTATTTTTGTTGTGAGATTTGGTGTGGGTTTAATCGTCGTATCCTTCTTTCAAATGAGTTGTTTTTCTAATGTTAATTCCTGTCTCAATATCAATTGCAAGCATGCAGTGCTGTAGATATAGATGATATCCTAATATCTAAGGGTGTGCTTTGGAGTGCTTAAATTAAATTTTAAGTGATTATAAGTAGTGGGTCCTACAAAATGCATGGATAATAAGTATGTAGTAGTTGTTGGTCATATAATATGTTTGCCAGCTTAAATTATAACTTAAGCTTTGCCAAACTTGCACCGAACAAATGAGCCACAGTGCTACTTGTAAATCTACCTCCTATCTGTATACAATTACTTCTTTTGCCAAACTTGTCTTCGATTTTCAAAATTTACTTGTTCTCTTTCAATTTTTTAGTGCAAAATCTTGCTTTTTTGATAGCAAGTCTTTACTTGCAAAGTGAGAGAGCTTCTTTTAAGCATAGCCAAACATGCTGTTAGTCCCATTTTGAGTGACAAAAATCAATTCTTTCTTTGACTGCAGGATTACATGGGAAGATGCATCTTGACTCTAACAAGGGTTATATTCGAAGGCGAATATAAAGATACTTTTCCGCTAGACGGTGCCAAGTCGGGAACGCTCAACTTGCATCTCAAGTGGAATCCACAACCCATTTACAGAGACTCCTAGTGGCCCTCCAATGGCAAATAGCGAATTCTATAGCACATAGAATGGATTTTGAGCTCTATATACATATACACACAACATACTGAAAACGTATACACACAACATACTGAAACTCTACCTATCAAAACTGATGGATCAATAAGCATCGAGACTATATTGTAGATTTAATCTTTATGTATGTAAGACTGAATATAACAGCTCTAGCAGTGTGCAGGGAAAAGCTGTAAAGAGGCAGAAGTTTCATTCTAGGTTGGGGAAGAAATGTGGGTGCAAAACTTGTGAAGATTTGGTGAGAATTGTTGTATGAGAAGATGTTAAACTTTATCTGAGGCTGACCAATATATATATATATATATTTATTTATTTATTTATTTATTTTTTTTTTTTAAACTTGAATTCTGTTTGTTTCAGTGCATGTTTGGTGAATTTTTTATTTTTTATTTTTTGTAGATTATAAGCAGTGGATTATAACGAATAATTATATTGTTAGTATTGTAACTGTTGAAGTAGTTGATAATACATTGTTTCGCTTGAATTTATTTTGAACTACTAAAAGAGATAGTATGAGGTTAAAACTTTTATTCTTTTATTCTCATTTACGTGACTCTATTTTTGGACTTATTGTATATTTATAATATTGTTTTTTTCTAAGTCATTAAAATGAAACAATGTACACAAATTCTTCTTCGAAGAACAATGTAAAGAATTTTGGGAGATCCTTATTAATTAACACATCAAAATATGAAATTTTTTAATTAGATTTAATTATATCTCATTTATTTGACATTTCCCCCCTTTCCACATAAAGTCTATGGCTCTATTGCGTGTGTCCATAGATTTATTGGAAGAGAGATTAGATTTTTTATTTTATTTTGTTATTTTAAATTTACATTTAAGTTATATTTCAAAATATAAATACAAAAGTAAGTAGGATGAGAAATGGTAATATTTTATTTCGTAACCAAACTCCACCTCTCTTTACTGACTTTTCGAAGATCTTACCATTCCCTCTTGTCCCATACTGAACATGGTCCGGTTCGATTATAAGGAGAACCAAATTGAACTCAAATTTTTGGGTATTTTGTAAATGGAATCGTCGGGTTCAAATTTAATTATGGAACCATTCAGGTTTCGTTCCGTTCTGTTTGATTTCATTCGATTCCTGAGTTCCGTATAATAATTAATTTTTTTAATACTTACAACAACACTACATTAATTTAACAAATGGTAAGTTCAATTTTAGCTCTAAAAAAATAATGTAATCCAATCCTGTAATAATTTTTGCACTTTTCTTTGTTAAGTTCTTCATAGATTTGACTGTTAAAATCACAAAAAGAAGAAAATAGCGAACTCACAATAATAAAGAGAAACGATATGCCAAGCTTTCAATTCAATTTCTTTGTAATGGCAGAAACGACACTATGATAAAATAAGGGATTTGTGTAAAATTTAGATTAATTTGATTAAGTTGGACTTGGACTGAAAATTAGAAATAGAAAAATTATATTTTTAGTTTGGGCTAAATTAAATAGTTAACAAATTTATTTAGAAAAAATAAACTAAATTGGCTTATTTAATATAAAAAAAAAAAAGCAAAATTTAGTTCTTATTCGATTTTTCAGTTTTTAGTCTAGAATTGAGAACTGAATTCTCAATTCAAATACTCATTCGAATATTTAATTTAAAAAGAAGAGCTCGATTTGGTTCGAAAGTTTTTTTCAGTCCCAATCCTGTCCCTTGAAAATGTCTGATCGATCCATTGTGTAATTCTAAATTAGTGTTCAGTTAAAAATATTTATATTTATCTACTACATGTGGTTGAGATATTTAAATTTCATTTGAAATTTCATAGTAAGCCAATAGCATTGAATTTTCTGATTCTATTAACACGTTTATTGAGATACAACGTCGTTTCATGTCTTATCTGTTGATCCTCATAGAAACCCTCACAAGTTTCAAAACTTGGCCCTTCTCCACCTTCTTCAGATACATGACAATTGGAATCACAATTCGATAATTCATTTTTGTTTTCTGGGATTTTGATTTTCTTTTTATCTTTATTGAACTTATCTGCAGAATTCTTTGTTTTTAGATTTATTTTGTTATGCAAAATTTTCTGGTTATTGAAGTCGTGAAGCCCTAGACTGGAGGTGCATACTGTTATTTTTGATCAATTAGGTAAACTATTAAATAACTAGTTTCTTTTTCGTCTTGTTCTTTGAATTTTGGTTTGTAGCTGAATGAATAAATACAGGATGAGTATATTGGAGTTGATTAATTTCTGTATGTCAAGTTAATATATGGAATGAATTTCTAGAATTTGTAAAGAACTAGGTTCTATTAGTTCATATTGTGTAGGTTACAATTGGGTTTAAGAATGTTTGTGAATTGAATTTGTACATTGTGCGTTTTGGTTTGGTTTTTATTCACTAAAATAAGTTAAATTTTGTGCAAATTAAGTTAAAAGCTATTTGTTGTTATATGAGGATCCCTTCGAATGAATTAGGTATCGACCAATGAATATTTTGAATTAGTCATAGCACCCAGCTATGTTCTTCTTAAGCTTCACAAGAAAATATGTAGCTAAAATCAGTGTTTAAATAATAAAAAAAAAAGAAAAAAAAGAGTGAATTTCGTAAAGGATTTGCTTTGGATGACTTCTGAGTAAGTTGCAAATATACATATTGTGGTAAGTTTGACGACGAGATGTTCGTGAGTATTAAGTAATTTTGTAGTGGAATCTCATAAAAGGAGTACACCTAATTGGTGATATGCTTCTTTTTTTAGCTAACAAGTTTCTCTAGAAAGAGGGGTATTAGGTTCAATTGAGTGAAGAATCATATGGAGCTGTGTATCTTGAGAAACTGCTAGAATCATATAATGGTACTGTTTAACACACTAAGTTGTGTGTGCATACTTAAGGCTGCAGTTTTGTTTTGATTTCTTTGATTTTTGTACTTTTATCCTTTTTGGTTTAGAATGAATTACCTAAGACTGTTAGATGAGGTTTGATGAAAGTTACTTTATTGTAAATTGTAACGACCCGATCTCTCTATTTAAATCGTTAACTTACGTATTATTCATTTTGGGAGAGTATCTGCCCTCTTATCTCTTATGGCTGATTCGAACTCAAGACCTCTACTTTATGAGAGATTTAAGTTGAATTCGAGTATCAATTGGTCTAGGATGAGAGGGTAGATGTTTTCCTAAAGCGGACAGTACATATAATATAGCAATTTGGACATAGAGATCGAATCGTTACGAAAAAGCACAACTTTTTTATAACAACCTAGCTTTTAAGTCGATATGTCATATGTATTATCCTCTTTAGGAGCTCATCTGTCCTCTTACCCTTGATAAATTTCTATCGCATTCCGTAGGATTTGAACCCAAGACCTTTACTTTATGAGAGATTTAAGTTGAATCCTAATACCAACTGGTAATTAGTACTATGCCCTTTCAAAGCGGACATTATGTATGATATAACGGTTTGGACATTGAGGTTGGGTAGTTACAAAAAAATACGCTTTTATTTGTAACCATCCAACTTCTATTCCCATTGCCCAAGCGATATGGAAAGTCATGAGGGAGAGGAAAAATGCTAACCTAAAGTGGAAGATACCTATGATAAATCAGTTTGAGCACAGAGCCCGGGTCTTTACATATATTTTTTTTCCTTAGGCCTTTGATAAATTTTCTCTCTATCTCGGCGTTCTTCTCGCACCTTCATGATTGGACAAGCACAATTATGCAGCTACAGATCTTCTCAGTTTGACAATCAACCTTTTTTATTTCATAAAACGTGTTCTTAGGATTTGGGTTAGCTTTTAATTGAATGTGGGGGTCTCAAAGTGATGATTGTTTCCATGGAGAGAGGTAGGGCTGGACAAAATTCCCGAACCGAACCGAACCGAACCGAACCGACCAAGCCGAACCTGAACCCAAACCGAACAGAATCGAACCCGACGGTTCTTTTCAAGTTAAATACCTGAATGGGTATTTGAATCGAGAATCGACTGGTATGGTTCGATTCTCGATTCTAGGCTAAGACCCTAAGAACCGAATCTCCCTAATTTTTTTAATTAATTTATTTTAAATAAGCAAAATTATTTTATTTTTTTTAAATAAATTTGTTAACTTTTCGAACAAAAAAAATATGATTTTCCTATTTCTAATTTTCAGTTCAAAGTCAACTTAATTAAATTGACCTCAATTTTATCCAAATCTGTTACTTTATTGTAGTGTCGTTTCTATTGGAGAAAATCGAATTGAAACTCTACAACGTCTCTCTTAATTATTTTGAACTCGCTATCTTTCTCTTTCTGTGATTTTAATAATCAAATTTATGAAGAACTAAAATTTTGACATGGGATCTTTATAACTTTACCAATATATTGAAGATAGTACCTAGCTATTGGATTTGGATCTCTACTCTGATCATTTGAAGAAATCATTCACGACTATTCTTCACTAGTATTCTAATTGATCACTAGTATTCTAATTGAACTAATGACAATGTATTATATCATACTTCTATAGAATGATTCTTGTGAATAAATCTGAAAATAACTTTTGGAATTCCTTTTGACTTTTTTGTAAGATGCTTTATTCAATCAGTTGGCTGATTTTACGTCATGGTTATGTCTTGAATGTTATAAATGCTTGTTCAATAGTTTGTTTATTGTTTGACTTCATTTTGTCCTGGCAATTGGAGTTCCGAAATGTCTTGTATATTGATCTTTGTCTACCTATTTGTCTTTGAAGTTCAACTGAAGGATTAGAATGACTTCTTATGTGTACTGGCAATTGGAGTTCTGAAGCAGTTGTGTATTGATCTTTCTCTACCTAATTTCATCTGAAGATCAAGTAAAGGATTAGAATGTTTTCTTATGCGCAGTAAGCATGATGAGCATTAAGGATTGGGTTTTATCTCAATTAGTATCCACGTCACTAGCTTCATCGAGACCACTGTCAGCATCAGACAGCTTTTTATCCGAGGAACCACAAAATGTAGAGTTTGACAACGAAGGTATCACCTTTTCCTGGCATTTTATTTTTGTGGGTGTGTTGAGTGTGAAAATGGGAATCCGGTGTTTATGACCTTTTTTACATGCTCTCTTGCCCCTTTTTTTGCTGTCATTATTCGATTTACTTAAAAGAGTGATTATAGTGGAAGTGTAAAATTTATATGACCAGGTTAATATATAAAGATTTCCTTTTGTACTAGATTTGCGTCCTTTTGGGCATAGAAGAGGTTGTGACTAAAATGGGTTTATCATCGGAAGCAGCAAGCAATTTGCAGTTAATTTGGAATTATTCCACAACTACTCGTTTCCTTATGAGCTTGAGTACTCCAAAACATTCTTTTATCGTTTACTCTTTTGAGAACTATAGTAAGTTCATTTTTCTTAAAGAGTTGTTTTTTGTAAAATCTAAATAAAACTTTCAGTGATTTAAAATTGATACATCAACACCAGGGCATTTCCCTTGTTTATTATATAAACTGAATAAGGGTTATTCCACAACTACTTGTTTCCTTATGAGCTTGAGTACTCCAAAACATTCTTTTATCGTTTACTCTTTTGAGAACTATAGCAAGTTCATTTTTCTTAAAGAGTTGTTTTTTGTAAAATCTAAATAAAACTTTCAGTGATTTAAAATTGATACATCAACACCAGGGCATTTCCCTTGTTTATTATATAAACTGAATAAGGCACACCCTCGGATTAGCATACTAGCAGCAAAAAAAAAAAAAAAACTACCAAACACTACTTATGGTGCGGAAGTGATAGTAAAATTCTTGTACCAAGAATTGAAATAAGAAAATCTAGGAATAACTTGCTTGTATTGATTCGATAATGAATGAATGAATGAATGAAAATTGTACAATGTGTCCAATATTTATAGGCAAATTATCACTACTCCTAATGGTATTGGGAAATTGTAATAAGGAAATTAGGAAACTAATAAAATTTTAATCTAATTAAAACTCATATTCTACTCAATAAAGAAACTATAATTCTAATAAAATATAGAAGTTCTATTACAAAAAAACTAAGTAGAAAATAAACTCCTAAAAAAGATAAAACATATTAGTAGTAGGAAATCAATTGTAGTTGTGATGTACTACATCAATCCCCTTCACTTGAAGAAAACTCGTCCTCAAGTTTTGCTTTTGCAAGGAAAAGAAAATCTATCAATCTGAAGGAAAGTACTCAAAAATTTCTATTAATACTGATATTGAAGAAATTTCAATTTTTTGATATGCTCGATAAACGTTATTTTCTTCAATTTTATTGTTTGAAGGCAATTTTGCTTCCACCACGCTAATCCTATTTTCTTCATAGATAATTTCTACGTAACCTACCTTCATTAATGAAGTATGATTCGATTTCTCTTCTTCGGTCCGCTCTCGTAAATCAGTAATGGCATGAGTTTGCAAAGGTCGTGATTCCTACACCTCGTGCCTAGCTCATCAATTCTTGGTCCTGCCTGTTGTCGTCGTTGGTGATAAAAAATGAGCTGGGTCTCTTGTGCAAGCCTGGATCGAAGTCTGGACCTATTCTAGTGTGCGTGTTCATGTCCACTGCAACCCTAAGGATTCCTCTCATTGAATCAATGTCTCCTTCGTCATCGCTAGAATCTAGGTTTGTCTTCTTTCTGCCAATCATCTTGTCTGTCAGGTTGTTCCTCCATGGGCTCGCGATTCTTCTCAACAGTCAACACAATCAGCATCTATGTGATTTTGCAAAGAGTCTCATGCCTACCCAATTGTTTTGCGCTGGACTCATGGTGATTCTCAATAATCATCGCAGTTAGTATCTGCATGATATTGCGAAGAGCTTCATCCATCCCATCTAGTCGTCGTTCAATTTTTTCAAACCTCTGTTCGTTGTCAGTGGTTTGCTTGCAACTCGAACCATCGTCAACCATCAGATTAAAGCAAGTCCTTGCTCTGATACCAATTTGGTGCGGAAGCGATAATAAAATTCTTGTACCAAGAATTGAAATAAGAAAATTTAGAAATAACTTGCCTACATTGATTCGATAATGAATGAATGAATGAAATTTGTACAATGTATCTTATATTTATAGGCAAATTATCCTTACTCCTAATTGTGTTAGGAAATTGTAATAAGGAAACTAGGAAACTAATAAAAGTCTAATCTAATTAAAACTCCTATTCTACTCAATAAAGAAACTATAATTCTAATAAAATAAAGAAGTCCTATTACAAGAAAACTAAATAGAAAATAAGCTCCTAAAAAGGATAAAACATATTAGTAGGAAATCAACTGTAGTTGTGATGTACTACATCAACTTACCTTTTTATATTTGCAGGCCAAACTACCAAAGCGCATACAGCTGCCAAGTCCTTTTAGTCCTGGGAAAACCATGTGACTAGACCAAAAGTACGCAAACACTTTATTCGAAAAGAAATCTTTATATATAACTCGGGTCATATAAATTTCACACTTCTTCTAAAATCTCTCTTCTAAATTAAACAATGGCGGTAAACACGTAAATAAAGTTCAGCCAATGACCAACAGTTGCAATTATCCCTATTGTGGTACTATAATTTGTTTAAGATTTGACGTTGATGATCATTGATCGACTCTATGGGTCTAAGGACTGTCTTGTGTGCTTCTGTTCTTGTGTTTGTGTTTGTTTGTGGTGCATCCAACGCACTCCAAAAAGGGGAGAGGAGTTCAACAAAAGGTTGTTAACTGACATGAACCGTGTTTACTACTTGAAATGATAGTTCTCATCTTAGTTTTTTAGGTTAGAAAAAAACAAATTAGTTTTAATCTTAGGGCCTGTTTGATACAATAAATTTTCCATGGAAAATTTTTCCATTTTCCACTCTTTTCCTTGTTTGACTGCAAAAATTTTCTTTGGAATTGATTTCCCCACCCCCACCCAAACCCCCCCAACGTGACCCCTTTTTTCTTGATTTTGTGGAAATTGATCTTCCATGGTTTGAGTGAGAAATCAATTTTCAGGTTTTTTTTTATTTTATTTATTATTATTATTTTTTTTGGCAATGAAAACAAATTTTATCCACAATTGTAACAAATTTTATCCTTTTATTTGACAATTTTTATGGAAAACAAAACCAAACAAACATAAATAAAATCCAAAATTTCAACATTTTTCAAGTGAAAAATTATACCAATGAAACACATTTAATTGATAGTTCCCAATAAACAAATTCTAAACAATTAAATTCCCTGAAAATCGTTATCTTTTCACCCAAATTTCATTCTTGTAATCAAACGGACTGGCATAGAAAATATTTCCTCGTTTTAAGGAAAATAAAAACCTACTTCCCCCAAAGAAGATATTTTCTTAAAAATAAGGAAAATTAAGCGTATTTTCAAAAGTTACAATTGAAAAAAATAGCAATCAAACACTCCAAAGTAGGAATTTGGATGGAAAACTGGTATTTTCTATGTAAAATAAATGCAATCAAACACTCATTTATCGTCATCGGCCAAAATAGGTTACTGATTTGATTAGGTTTTACTATATATATACCCTTATGTATTTTTTCTCCAATAAATAAATGACTTTTTACATGTCAGATTGTATGATCTTTTACTTAAGCTGTTTTTTATACTTACGGGGAAGTGTTGATGCTTGGCTCACGGTTGGTTTTCTGCCAGTCTGCTGATGAGTTTGCTAAAAATGTAATTGAAATTTCTGTTGATCCTTTGATCCATGGCTGTCAATTAAAACTGAAATTTTACACATCAGGTTTGGGTCACGTTACCACTAATTTGACTGCTGTGCCAGAGTCTGGGGAGATGTCTTGCTCCTCCAATGATAATCAGACAAATCAGAGTTTCTCGTCTCAGCCTGTGGAAAATCCTTCTGTGTCTAATAGTAGCATTGAGAAGAAATTAGATTCTCTGGCGATGATTGAAGGTCTACAAATTATTTTTTTGCGTCTTCTTCAACGCCTTGGCTTGTCTCAAGATAATCTTATGGTGGCAAAGGTATTATATCGGATTCACCTGGCAACTTTGGTGCGAGCAGGGGAATCAGATTTGAAAAGAGCTAATCTCAGAATTGATAGAGCTCGAGCATTGGCTGCAGAACAAGAAGCAGCTGGTATACCTGAATTGGACTTTGTGCTTAGAATACTTGTTTTGGGTAAAACTGGTGTTGGCAAGAGTTCAACAATAAATTCTATATTTGGTAATAGGAAGGTAACAACTAATGCATTTCATCCGTCTACTGATCAAGTTCAAGAGATTGTAGGAAGTGTGAACGGTCTTAGAATATCTTTTATTGATACTCCTGGCCTGTTACCTTCCTCAACAATTAACGCCAGGAGAAACAAGAAAATCTTACGCTCTGTGAAGCGATTTGTTAAAAAATCACATCCGGATATAATCCTGTATTTTGAGCGCCTTGACATGATCAATCCGGGTTATTGTGACTTTCCATTGTTGAAGCTCATAACTGAACTCCTTGGCCCTGAACTCTGGTTCAACACAATCCTTGTCATGACTCATTCTTCTGCTGCACTTCCTGAAGGTCCAGATGGTTATCCTGTAAGCTATAATTCTTATGTCACTTACTGCACTGATCTGATGCGACACTGCATTCACCAGGCAATATTGGATAAGAAGCTTGAAAACCCTGTAATTTTGGTGGAGAATGATCCCCACTGTAAGACAGATAACAGGGGGAGAAAGATTCTTCCTAATGGCCAGTTGTGGATGTCCCAGTTCTTGTTAATATGCATATGCACCAAAATTCTTGGTGATGTCAATACTCTTTTGGGATTTGAAGACTGTGTACAATTGGGGCCTTTAAGTAAAACCCGATTGCCTTCTTTACCGCATCTTCTCTCATCTTTTCTTAAACATCATATTCAATTGAACCCAAACACTTCAAACGACAAAATTGACGAGCTCCCTCTTACATATATGGATGAAGAAGATGAATATGATCAATTGCCTCCTATTCGAATTCTGACTAGAGCTCAGTTTGAGAAATTGACCAACTTACAAAAGAAAGCTTATCTTGATGAGCTGGATTACAGGGAAACCCTTTATTTAAAGAAACAGCTGAAACAAGAATTTCTTCGTAAAAAAGAGAACAAAGAAAACATTGGAGTGGCCTCTGATGACAGTAGTGATAAGCAGGAGGATGCTTCAACAGCAGTTCTGTTACCAGACATGACTGTCCCTCCAAGTTTCGACTCAGATAGTCCTGTGCATAGATTCCGCTGCCTCGTTACAGGTGATCAGTGGCTTGCAAGGCCAGTTCTTGATCCCCATGGATGGGATCATGATGTGGGATTTGATGGTGTCAACCTCGAGACTGCTGCTAAGATAAGGGAAAATGTTGTTGCTTGTGTCATAGGACAAATGAGCAAGGACAAGCAAGATTTCAGTATTCAGTCAGAGTCTACTGCAGCTTTTATTGATCCTAGGGGCTCCATTTACAGTGTGGCTTGCTGTCATGCTGGCAAAAGCAGGGGTTTCGGTCAGTTTTACCTACTATTGGATTTGAACCAATGACTCTCGCCATATGAAAGCGATACTCTAACCGCTGAGTCAAGTAGGTCAAGCTGAGTCAAGTCAGAGAAAATAGACCCCTATAAGAGAAAGCGTTATCACCGCACGTGCGAGTTCCCCCGCATACGGCTCAAGTGGCGAAAGCCCTTTCTTTCGCGCTTGGTAAGCGCTTCGCTGTAGCCAAGCTTCGACCGCGACTGCTCGTCGCTTCTGGCCGCCTTATTCCGTCACCCGAGATCCAAGTCAGCACCGGAAAAGATCTCTTGATTCCTCGCGGCCGGGCCGGCTTGGAAGCAAGCGCGTACTTCCACATATCCACTCAGAGGAAGGTCTTTTCGTAATGGATGACCCTCGAAACCATAATCTGTTGATATACGGCGTAGATCTGGATGATTGATGGAAGAAACACCAAACATATCCCAAACTTCTCGCTCCCACCGGCCGGCTGATGGAAATGGACTAAGGCTCTTTGTCTTCTTTGACGACTTCCTGAAGGCCTTCCATTTCTTCTTTTTCTAATTCCAAAAAGGGCGTTGCTGTCAAGAGAATGAGTTTTCCAATAGATAGACTATAAATGGTATGCTGGAGAGAAGAATAGGAATACTTGAGCAAGGACAAGCAAGATTTCAGTATTCAGTCAGAGTCTACTGCAGCTTTTATTGATCCTAGGGGCTCCATTTACAGTGTGGGTCTTGATGTTCAATCTGCTGGGAAAGAATTGGTCTGCACAATTCGCAGCAACACAAAATTGAAAAATTTGAAGAACAATGTTACTGAATGTGGTGTTTCAGTGACATCTTTTGCAGATAAATATTATTTTGGCACTAAAATCGAGGACAGCTTCTCAATAGGAAGGCGACTGAGATTTGCAATAGATGCTGGACGGATGGGAGGAAATGGACAAGTGGCTTATGGTGGAAGTGTCGAAACTACTTTAAGAGGGAAAGACTACCCTGTGAGAAACGAGGTGGTCAGTCTCTCAATGACATTCCTCTCATTTAACAAAGAGACAGTTTTGGGTGGCAATTTACAGTCAGACTTCAGATTGACCCGAGGTACAACAATGTCACTGAATGCCAATTTGAATAGCCGAAAAATGGGCCAGGTTTCTATGAAGGTCAATAGCTCTGAGCACGTGCAAATAGCTTTGGTTGCAGTTGTCTCCATTTTCAGAGCCCTTTTGCGGAAGAAGCCTGTTGATGATCTTCAAAGTAGAAAAGCTCTTGAAAGATGATGAGATTTATTTATTTTATTTTATTTTATTTTTTTCACCACGTTCACTATTCAAAATTTGAGAAATTTTTGGGCCATGAAATTACTTGAAACCGGAATATGAATTTACACTGCAATGTGAGGAAGATTATCTGTTACTAATCATACGAAATGACCCACGTGGAGGTTCTCATATTTGGACATATGACAAGCACGCAAAAGGGATCAATATCTGAAGATGTCACGTTAAGCGTCGAGGTTGTCTGAGAATGGCCGAAGTAGCCCTATCCTTCTTATCGAAGTGGAGTATCCGAAGTCCTTTACAACCAGAAGAGGGTTGGGCAAGCACGTCTTCAGAATTGACTACTGATGTGAGGTGTGCAGTTAATAAGTGTCAAGGATGTCAGCAGAAGAGGGTCGGGCAAGCACGTCTTTAGAATTGACTACTAATGTGACGTGCTCATTAATAAGTGTCAGGGATGCCCGCCTAGGTTTGTGACCTCGTATAAAAAAATCTATCAATGTAATTAATTTAGATTAGAGTTAATGTGATACAAAGTGTCTGCAGATCAAGCCACGTGGATCCAATGCAACGGTGACTACGTCGGCTTGATCACTATAAATAGACAATTCTTGTATCAGTTAAAGGGATCTTGGAAAATATAGACAAGAGAATACAATACACTTTCATTGCCTACTATTCATCTTCTTCTACAAACATACTATTTACAATTTACATATGGCAAACTACACTCACGTGTACATCGTACACTTGTTGACTATTTTCGAAGGTCAACATTATCCATGAAGCAGATGGTGAAAATTCCTGATTGCCGTACAGGACTCAATGCTGCAGAATAGCAGGTAACTCGTTCGTGTCAATTCTTGATTTTGGTAAGAGTGTATGCTAGACAGTGATCATGCAGTACGTTTTCTTGTGGGCTTTTGATGGCCAAAGAGGTTTCTATTAGGTGTTCTGAAATGACAAAAATGTGAGGCCATAAAATACT